ACCACCACGAATTTCGAGACTAGGAATGGTCTTTATATTTTTGCGAATGTTTGCTTCTTGCATGCGTTCGTGTCGAGTTTTGTCAGTTTCGACGTAGACATGACTATACATAGGATTATCTTTAAGTTTTCTTATTTTCTTTACTACATCTGAACGTTGAGATTCATTATCAAATTTCACAAGTACCGTTTTGTTCTGTTGATTCTGTTGTTTGGTTTTAGATCCTACGCATTATAAAATCCAGTTCAAGATAGGTAATGCTACCGCTAATATATGCCTTCAAGGAATCGTGGCTATCACCCGTGTCGGCATTTGGTACATTTTTAAACACTAGTTTAGAGAAAGTAATGTTCTGTGACACTTGTGTTTTGGTTGAGCTTTCACCTTTTTCAGAGTATCTATTTTGTTTTTTTACACTTGGTATTTCTTTATCAAACTAAGCAAACTCAATGTTAATTTCATCTTTCAACGATTTCATTTTACTTGATATTACTGTCTTTAAACTGGCTTCTAAATTTGTGATTCGCTGCTCCATGGATTGTTAAAGAAATTCTTGGTTATTACTAACTTTCATCAATAAATCATAAATGTCATTTACTGACCTTGTAACTGGATTGTCTTGTCCGGGTTCCTTTGCATTAGACAGGTGAGCTAACTGTTCTAAGCTAGTTTTTTTTTTTGGTTCTTTTTGTTATTGGTAGAATCTGTTCTACTTCTGTATCTGACGAGTACGACGAGCTTTTCGTCCTGGTTTTCTATTATTTAACATCTAGATTGGACACCTGAACATTGCAATATAGTTTCTGACACTTTTATAATCAAATAAATCAATATAATCCTTTAATATCACAAGATTTGACAAGAGCAAATTTTCATACGTCCATTACATGTAACTTCGTTTTCACATTTACTTAACATTGTAAATATCAATTAAAATATGGTCAATGTCATATGAACCCTGCCAAAATACATGTTCACTTTAAGATCATTCATGACCAACTATTGTTCAACTATTGCATTAAGTGTCTCATGATCTTACGGAACTACAACAATTACACGTTGACAAATGAACCATGAAAATGAGGTGAAGGTCAAATGAACCCTGCAAGACAGACATGGAGGGTGAACAGTTGATCTATTTCTTACAGTTCATGCGAAAAGGATGTAATATGGATTCATTATTATTCATTGGATCCAAATTTTAACGGAATTATAGGGCATTAGTTAACCATGAAATTATATGTAAAACTAGTAAGCTGAAATTATATATAGCTTGGTATGCAGACTTTTGAAAAGCTACAAAATCAAATATCCATGAAATACCGTTTTTTTCTCAATCTACGAAAATTGGTACCCAAGAAAATAAATGAATCTACAGTAAACCACAAATAATATTGTTGACAAATGAACCATGAACATAATGTAAATGTGGTCAAGGTAAAACGAACCATGTCAGACAAACATGTACACCTAACAGTCATTTCAATTAATCTATTATATATGAATTACTGCTTATACTTTCTGGGAAAGTTTATAATAATCACGGATTAGGTCAGATGAGAAATATCAAATGATGATCTCGACGAAAGTTTTGCGAAATTAATGCCCAGTAATTAAAAGCTGATGTCTAATCAATATATTGTTATAAAACATTTTATGATCATTTTCTTTAAATGAGGAGAGATCTTATGGGTCAAAATGTCAGAAAATAAATAATAAAAGGTTGCTGAAATACACCAATGGTTTTATCACTTGCATCTTTTGGCAAATATATGAGTGATAGTGTTAATAAAGCATTAAAAGAATATAAACAAATAGTAAATGATGGCACTGGAAAACATGGAAGAAGTCACCTTCTCACATTTTCAGGTTGGTCTGACAAGGACAGTGCAGCTGTAAATGCATGCGTACGGTTTGCAGTGCTCTGGTGTTAAGTGGTAACGCATCAACTGGAAGACTTTAAAACGTATTTCTTTTCAAAAGGAAAAACTTGTAGATAGAGAAGATTTGATCATACAAGATTTAAAATTATATTTGAAAATGCCACGTTGCTGTGTTCTTCCGGACTTCAAGACAAAACAATATTTCTGGAGATTTGGAAAAAATATTCCCACTCCATTTCAAAAACGTATTGATCGCAAAACTGTAGAAACACACATTTTGGATTTGAATCATTTTTTTTTTACAATTTCAAATACATTTAAAACAGTGGTTAAAAGATCCAAGTGATTTAATATCTGGTGAAACTGTTTTGAAACCTGAAATTCCACCATGCAAATATGACATTTTTGATGTAGTAATTTGCTTGAAGGCTATCATAGTTCAAATAACGAAACAATACGCGAAGAATCATTTTAATTACTGTTCTTAAACATACTAGTAATCGTACAAGTGAAGAAAAAAAAACTTTCCGATTTCGGGCAAAGTCGCTCTTTTAAACCAAATGCATCCATGCAACACATAGAGGCAACTTTAATGTGGATTAACAACAAAACTGTTGAATGGACAGATTTAATGGACTCTGAAAAAAAAAAAAAGCTAAATTACTTCAGCTATGAAACGAGCGCCGCATTTATCAGTAGTTTTAATTGAAACAAAAATGTCTTGACCGGATAAAAGAAAAAGAAACGAAAAAGCGAGGCGACATGCTCAAAGTATCAAGAATAAACAAACTGCATAGAAACACCTCAAATGCTCAATTTACAGTCATGTAGCATGTGCACGGGAAGTATAGGACTGAAATGAAAGAAAATCAATCTTGAAAGCTCAAATGACATTTTACAAATTTGTTATTAAACTTCCAAATATTGAACACAAACTGTTTTTCTTTTCAAAAGACAAAAAGAAATTGAAATCAGTGCAAATAATGTAAATATTATGAACATTTTGAATTATAAAAATAATTTGTTTTGGGGTTGTTATGACGATAATGAACCAGTATCCAATGAAAGAAGCAAACAGTTGCTTAAAAAGAGGCAAAATGATCTGCTTTCTATTCAAAAGAAATCTTTTCAATCCAAAAACAATCAAGTGTATAAAGGTTGAAAGTGTAACTGAAGAATACTATATATTTCAGTGCCTTAATGTTCCATGTTAATATTTAAGCTGTTACCTCTGTAACATATAAAGAGATGGGGTATTATTCTCAACAAGAAAAACTCACGAGAGACCAAAGGAGGATGTCAGTTTATCATAGATGTTATCAAAATACAAAGATATATGATTTGCCATATTTTTGTTATAAATTGGTATGAAAATTTCATTGTGATATTTTTAGTGGTTTCTGTCTTATTTAATAAGCTTTTTATGGCTTATATTATTGAAAGACAGTTGTATGTTACTTCCTTTGATACCTCTGAAGTCCGGGATTTTTATTTCCCTTCTGATCTTGAAGTATTCAATACAATCGGGACAACATGTCATATCTAAAAATGTACAGAACATTAATAAAGAATTATTCCTGTCCAGGAAAAAAAATGAATTTTCTATTTTTTTTTTATTTACTTTTGCATTAAATATGTTACCATGGTAACGAAATTTTTTTTTTTACTTCTTTTCAAAGTCACCACTTTATTTTGTATTGACAAGATATTCAAAATATTATCATATGAAAGATTACAACAGATCCACTTACATAAGGCTGAATTTTTTTTTTTTCTTAATTTTCCTAATAAAGTGAAGTAATTTTTACACAATTTTCAGTGATTAAACTCTTAACAATATTGTTTTCAATTAATATATTTGAATTGAGACTTTGAATTTAAAAAAATACTTGATTTCATGTTGGAGATGGTTTTATGCCAAAAATATCAATTTTGTATGTCTTAAAGTGGACATTTTTTACCTAAAAACAGCAATTTTTTCCATATTTGACCTTTAATTGAAGCAAAGCACACTTGTAAAAATTAATTGTCTTACAAATGAACATTTGACAAATCGACAAAATTATCCCAAAATGCCTTTTATTTTATCATCTAAAAATTGCTCTGTATCTTTCATTTCAGTTCATTTCAGAATTAAACATTCTAAAGTGATTTTTTCATGGAAAAGTAATCTATTTAACTTAGTTTATCTTTATAACTGTTTATAATTTTTTCGTTACTTTCCTTTTTAAGAGCTGTTGAGATAAAATAACTGTTTCATATCAAAATTAAGTTACTAAACAAGTGTTACATCTATGCACTTGGTCTCTGGTGGATAAATATCTCATTGGCATCATACCCCATCTTCTGACTTTTATACTTTAGATACCACCAAAACTTAATGACCATGATACACACTTGATATAACTGACCTATTGCTTAATTGAATTTGAGAAAAGGATGAAACAAGAACTATTTGAGCATCTTTGTAACCAAAAGGAAATCTAAGTCTATCGCAATTGAACTCCGCAGGTTTTAATTTGCATTCAAAATTCAATATTAAGTTTTCCATTCTTGTCGTGAACTTTTTATAATATTTATATTCATATAATAAGTGGAGTGCATTTCCAGTATTTTTTAACTACAGTACCAGGACGTGTTATTTTGAAAGTATGAGGCGAGTGTGTATAGAACAATGCAGAATGTATAATCAATTTTAAATTTCAGGTCAGGTAATTTTTGTCCTTTATCCTGGCATTTATACAATTATGCATAGTCTTTATTGAAAATGAATGATGTTTCTGTTTTCTAATAATGGGTGATCTAAAAATAGCACAAAAATGAAAAAGGGGATACCCTTATTCAAAATCTTTGTAAACATGGTAATCTGGTAATTAAGAAATATAATAATATGATTAAAAAAAAAAGTCATTGTGTATTTTAGATGCAGGTAGCTTTTTATTAACACCATTTTGCTATTCCTTTTAATTTTTTTAAAATGTAGTTTAAATGCCAACAAATATGGCATGAATGGGGCGCAACAACATTTTGCACAGGGAAAGCGAAAGTTGTGAATATTTGTTTTCTTTTAAGCGTACTTTTTCTTTGTCAGTGTGACAAACTTATATACTTTTTTACCTTCCTATAATGTTGTGAATATCAATTCAGCCTAAAATTTGGATAAAAGTCATTTTTGATCTCTCTCATGTCACAATATCTGATTTCTATTTTCACTTTTGTGTAATGCATAGTGAAAGAGTCAAACACGGAAACAAATATACGGGTTTATTTTTTATAAATTACTCATGTATTAGATCTTCAGATAAAGAAGAATATAGTTTCGTTAACCAATCAGGGGGCCCATTGAGGAAAATATAAATAACAATGCAATGATTATTGTTGTTGACATAACAAAAAAACGGAATATTAATAAACTAATAAGACATTACATTAGATTAATAATTGATCAATATCGGAAGTAAATATGAATTCATGGCACCCAGCTAGATTTGTACACAGAGAGACAACTCTATCATATTCACATTACAGATTTATGTGTAATGCATCCCGATTGTCCATTATACGTTCTGAATAAGTTTTATTTAATAAATTTTATGCATGAGGGTCTGGATGGGTTTAAAGGATAGGGAATAATAAGCCAAAAATACTGATAAAAGGGCAAAATAAATTCAAGAGAAAAATAAGGCAAATAGAGAATAATGGGGTACTTAAATATAACATGTATAAAGAATAGAGAATAAAAGGCTAACAAAATCATTCAAAATAAAGAATAGAGAAAAATGGTCTAAAAATTAATCTGAGAATACAGAAATGAAGGACCCCCATTCAATTCCTCATTCATTTGACATTAATTTTATCATAAAAAATTATCTGTGGAAGAAAGCTTTCTAAAATTGTTATATTTTATTATTCAGATCATTGATGAATGGCATTCTTCAGTTTTCAAGAATATGGCAGTCTAATAAATCTTCTGGTGTTTCTTTAGTTTGACTCGGACAGGCACAAACCGAATGTGGTGGGTTTAAACATGTTTGTGAGCCTGTGATTCAGTGGTTGTCGAATCTTGAATACTTCGCAAGATAAGTTATCTTTTGGCGGTATAAGTATTGCATCTATAACATATAAGAATGCATTTCGAGCAGTTGAATAGCTTTCTTTCACATATTCACTTATTGTTTACTGCTTAGTTTTTATTACGCTCCAATTTTTGTCCGGGTAATTTATCACGAAGATCTATACAATATCTGTACGAACATCAAATTCTTATAATCGTTAAACCGACTGGTTTGTTCAAATACTTGTACATTTCATGATTATTTGTGAAATTTTTTAAGATGTAAATCAATTCTAGAATGCGATATAATTATATTTATTATAACTATCATTTAATCGCTGTTAAATTACGAAGATGTGATTTAGAGGTACCAAATATGATTTGGAGGTACCGGATATGATTATGGGGAATGCCCAGAATGAAATACTAAAATGTGGTATGAATGACACTGAGACACTATCAACGAAATACTAAATGATGTGATGTAAGCAAATAGTCATTCTTGTAAAAATTAGTAATCAAATCCGGCTATAAAAATGTTTATTAATTCAGCTTTTTCCAAATTGGCAATTAACGGCTTTTTCAAAAATACCTTTTCAGATATGACGCATTATACAACACTTAACTGGTGTTGTTTAAATGATCTTCATTTGTTAATTTAAGAGAGAAGTGATAAGAAATTAAGTTCATGCATATAATTTGAAGTCTCGTTAATGAAAACAAAACCTTATAAATTTCGTGCGTCCGAAGATTTTTTTTTGAATTACCTTCATCAGGACAGGTCATATATTAATATTTGAAAGCCAGGGATGGATACATACGTAGACACGTATTCAAAATGACTTAAATCTTCTTGCATTGAACCATGCTTTGATATAGTCTTCTTATCCGTATTCTTTTTTATTATTTAAAAAATGATTACGTCGATTGAAATATTCCATGTTTTACTTCTCTTCACTAAGTCTTCATTATGAAAATAATTAAAACCACCATTTATATTTTGCAGAGGTTGTTACCAGATGTTGAAACAGGAAAAACCAATCGCAAGAAAAGACATGACAAGAATACTTTATGCGTTTGGTTCACGTGTCAAAACGCAGCTTTAACACCTTTTTATGTTACACGTTTACAACTTGATTTTATAACTCCCAATTTAATTATCTGATGACCTTTGGATTAAATAAAAGCGTCGTGGAAAAAATGAGTGAATCTACGTTAAGACGAAGTGTACGTAATTGCACGCCTCTAGCGGAATTTAGGATAAAAAAACGTGCGTCGTTAGTTACGCGGGTTATCTCCCCTACTCCAAGAAAGAAAAAATGGGCACATGAAAGAAAAATGAGTTCGTGCGGTCTATCATGAATCCAAACAAGTATTCCTGTGACAGTGCTATCTCAAAACTTCAAAGAAATTATTAGAATGACTACAATCAGAAATCTGAGTATCCTATTGTGAGTTAGTCTGACTCTATTACCACTATTTTTGTTTTAGACACGCAGGAGCAGGTACACAATACGACTCGTGTTTATTTCAACAGAAGGTAAAAACGCCTAAACAACAAAATTATAACCAAATAAACAAATAAACCAGTGACATTTCTGCTTCTATTCGTATCAAATTCATTAAAATCAAACCAGAATTGACCCCACAATATTTTTTGAAAAACCATAGTTTTGAATGAAATTCACAGTGTCGCGTAAAGTTATAGATTTTCTAGGTAACGAATAATTATATTGCATGTGAATTTGCGTGTTGAACAAGAAAGACGTTGGCATGTCCGTTTTTATGCAATTGAAAGTTTTATGATGTTTTATATTTTATTATTTATGTAAAAAGTATAAAAGATACTAAAGGGTAATCGACCACTAGTATAACATTTATAAGCCGAACAAAAGCCAACAGCAAAAAAAAAAACCATCAGATTCCGTCCACAAAACATTACACACTCAGAAACTAAGAATTGAGCACTATAACATTTATCTCAGAATAAGTAAAATCTATGTCATCCAAATCTCAGTTTTCAAGGTGCAGAAAATAAACAGGTGTCTTCTATTCCGTCCGCAATTTTTTGGGAAAGTAAAATTTAAATTTAGAACCATGGTTGAAACTGAAACTACACATGTATGATAAAAATAGAACGTGTTATTTTTTCTTTATCAAATTCCAATTTCGAAGGGATAGCGAAATTTGTTTTCTTTTGTGTATCATTCAGCAGTAGTATAAGGTAGGGGAAGAAGGGGGAGGGGGTGAAGAAAATAAGGTCTACAATGTCGGGGATTTTTATAACCGACTATACGGTATGGATTTTTCTCATTGTTGAAGGCCGTATGGTTGCCTATAATAATTGCTTACATCCACATCATTTAAGGTAGCTGGGGTGTCTAAATGTTGGAAGATAAATTTTTCTTAAACTTCTGTAAAAGACTTCTGGGTCAATGTCATTTCAAATTTCAATATAAAAACTGGGGATCACGGATCTTGTTTTTTCGTAATTTATTTTAACACATTGAAATTAACGAAATTTGGGTTATTTTATATTGTTAATATAGGGGAAACAAGTTTTCCTTATTGCGGAAACATTAAACAATATAATTGGCTAAAACTCGATGAGAGAATTGCTTTTCATTAATAACTCCGAAATATCAAATAAAAATAGGGGGTCACGGGCCTTATTTTCTTGAAAAAATCCCCAAAAATTTTAAATATACTTTACGACACTTAATTTTTTGATAGTTCAATCTTTAAATTTCAAGTTTTAGGTATTTTGTTGTATATTAAATGATACTTGGTAAAATATTTTTTAAACAAAAAAGTATTTTTGCAACATGATGTTAGAACGGACGCGCAGAAAAAGACAGCCGATCTACCTTAAACTGTGGCAGATAGTTGTCTTATTTGCAATGATACCACATCTCCTTATTTTCATATTATATTAACAAAACTGCAATTCATTTGCATTATATACAGGAACAATTTGTATGGCACTACACTAGGTAAACTCGTATAGCATCGCCCTTGGTACATTCTTATAGCATTACACCAGTACATTTATAGTATTACGCCAGTACATTTATAGCATATCACTATTCACAAAGCTTTAGCATTACACTATACACAATGGTATAGCATATTCACCATATACACAATGCTAAGGCTAAGGCTAACACTGGGAATGATCTGCGCTACGGGAAGTTATATCAAAAACTTAGATCTGTTTTACTTTGCTAAAATTCATATGCGGGTTCTTCTTTTGACCTTATAACAGCCACAAAAATTCTCAAGATAATATGCAGATGCAGTTTTCTTATTTTTTGGGAGTCGTGCATGTGGAAATTTAACAAATAATGGTACAAGAAATTATTTCATTTTTAATTAAAATCTCTGGCAAACATTATATCATGCTTTGTCGTGTAGTTAAAGAAAAGGGAAATCGATCGAGACAGGAAATTTTTTAAATAAAATTGCAGAGTTGTGTCACGGGCACGTGTGTGAACCTGACAAATAAAATGGGTTTTGTGCGCAATACCTCGAATAGCGGAAAATGGTGAGGATGAAAAGATGCAGCAAATTATATTCACTTTTCTAAAATGCAAACATGCAGAAACAAGATTTTAAAAAAGACGTGTATACGCGATCCCAATATTATAACCGATTATTTAAATACGTATAGAATCATTCTGTCAACGCTGTGTTAATCGGGACAATTTCAAACTTGATATTTGATTCATAATTATTAGAACAATACAATATAAAAATAAGAAGATGTGGTATGATTGCCAATGAGACAACTCTCCACAAGAGTCCAAATGACACAGAAATTAACAACTATAGGTCACCGTATGGCCTTCAACAATGATCAAAGCTATACAGTAACTTTCTTTCACTTGCAGTATATTTATTTGCCAATTTGCTTTTTTTTTTGGCAGCAGAAATATCCTTAAAAAAATAGTTAGTTTATTTCCTTATCAATTGAATACGCTTGAGCATTTGCAATAATTAGGAAAATGGGTTATACACACTCACAATTTTGATACGACACTGTACGGTATAACAGCGTTATAGAGTAGAAATTGTGATGACGTTACAGTAGACATCAATAACGTCGCCGAATGTTTTTTTTATTCTTTCCGCTAAAAATCAAATTTCCACAGGATATAGCTTGAAAACTAGCACGATTGCTAAGGACTTACTTTG